GATGAGAATAAAGTATTTTTCGAAAACAGTAGAACGGATAAAACTTTTGTTCATATTTAAGATTGGAAAATGACACATTTTCCCATGAATTATATGCTTATAGTACTTTTTCTCTCTGAATTATTCATGTATTCACATTTGCCTCCTAAGTTATGTTAAATGTTACGATTTTCCTCATTTCATGTTAAATGGACATTTTTAACCTTAAAAATAAGTATTTCATTTATTTTTCTTCTCCAACAAATTATTTCTTATATGTATGGATGATCACGGTTTGGTTCGAACCTAACCCTACACTGTAGCAACCGAATCGAAACAGTAGAAACAGTTCTGGTTACGATTTAGAACTAGAAAAAATATTATAAAATAAAATAATTATTGAATTTAGACTATTTTAAAAATAAGAAATCAAATTTACAAAAATAAATAAATAAATAAATTTTGAATTAGCCGGAGGAAGATCAACAAGTTCCCAAGTGTGATTCTGTAAGATAGAATCCACTTCACTTTTAATAGCCTCTTTCCACATTGGTCCTTCTGTAGAAGTCACGGCTTCTACATACGTTCGAGGCTCGTTTTATATCAAACAAGATAGAAAATCAGGTTCATTTTCTAATAAACAAGTTAGAGTACTCGAATCGTACTCCAACAAGTAAGTTAGAAAATCAGGACCAAATGATTTTCCAACTCTCGCCCGCTTACTGCGTCTCGGCTCGAGCTCGGGTTCTCTCTCGGATTCCCCACTATCATTATCCATAGCTTCGTCAAACATTCGTTTTGACATACTCGGTCCCTCGTTGGACCTACAAAGGAATACATTTTCAAAGAAAGATGCATTCCTTGATTCTATTATCGTATTCTCGTGTACGTCCGGATTATGGGACTCGTGTACTAAGAACCGATAAGCACTACTATTATGTGCATAGCCAATAAAGATACGGTCCACCGTCTTGGGACCTATCTTTACTTTCTTAGGTGTTGGCACCAAAACTTTGGCAAGACACCCCCACACTTTCAGGTACTGGTAGGAAGGTTTCCTACCGTTCCACAGCTCATAAGGAGTCTTATCGAGCTTCTTGCGGGGTACCTTATTCAAAAGGTAGTTACTTGTCAAAATCGCCTCACCCCACGCATCTTGAGGTAGGCCCGAACTTATAAGCATCGCATTCATCATATCTTTCAATGTACGATTCTTTCGTTCGGCAACACCGTTCGATTGAGGTGAGTAAGGTGTAGTACGCTCGTGTATGATACCTACACTAGCACAGAAGTCACCGATAGGTGCTTCGTACTCACCACTTCTATCGCTTTTAACTTTCTTAATCTTACGATTAAGTTGGTTTTCAAGTTCATTCTTATAAAGAATGAATTTTTCCAAGGCTTCGTCTTTGCTTTAAGCAAATACACATAGCAATAACGTGTGCTATCGTTGATAAACGTGATAAAATATTTATTACCACCTTTTGTTTCTGTCGATCTAAAATCGCACAAATCATTATGGATTAATTCTAGTGGTTCAGTTTCCCTTTCAACTGATTTGAAAGGTACTTTCGTTAGTTTTGCCTCAACACAAATTTCACACTTGTTATTTGTGTTAATTTGAAAATTAGGAATATGGTTCATGTTAATTAGTCAACGCATAGAATTAAAATTAACATGACCTAGTCTACCATGCCACAAATTGGAAGACTCAAGCAAGTAAACGGAAGTAACTTTGCTCTTACTCATGATAATAAGCATTACATTGAGCTTAAAAAGCCCATCAATTACATAACCTTTGCCTACAAATATTCCTAACTTAGACAAAACAACCTTGTCTGACTCGAACACCATGCGAAAACCATGCTTGTTCAACAGTGAGCCAGACACCAGATTCTTCCTCAGCTCTGGAACATACAGCACGTTGTTCAACGTCAGTTCCTTCCCGGAAGTCATCTTCAGAACCACCTTGCCCACGCCTTCCACAGCAGACTGAGTAGAGTTTCCCATCCAAACCTTCTCGCCCTCAACGGTCTCAAAGGTGTTGAACATCTCTCGGTTGCAACACAAATGCCTTGTTGCACCAGTGTCGATGAACCACTCTTGTGGGTTAGAGTCCACGAGGTTCACCTCGGTCACCATAGCCGAAAGGCTAATCTCGACCTCCTTCTGACTGCTTTCTTCAACCATGTTGGCTTCAGAATTCTTGTTCTTCTTCTTTGGAACTTTGCACTCAGAAGACTTGTGGCCAGACTTGCCACAATTGAAGCATTTTCCATGAAATTTCTTCTTGGTAATGCCTCCCTTCGGACCTAGCTTTTGCTTGTCCTTCTTGGAGTCTTTAGCATGCTCCACAACATTGGCCTTAGCGCCAACAGTGACAGGATTTCTCCCATCATTCGTCCTGTTCCCCTCCTCAATTCGGAGTCGCTGGATCAGGTCCTCCAGGTTCATCTCCTTTCGCTTATGCTTAAGGTAGTTTTTGAAGTCCTTCCACCCTGGAGGCAGCAAGCGGATAACAGATCCCACTAGGAAGGCTTCACTCAACGTCATGCCCTCGTCACGGATTTCATCAAAGATTAGTTGTAAATCTTCAACCTGACTTAGCACGGTCTTGGTATCAACCATTTTGAAGTCAAGGAATCGGTCAACCACAAATTTCTTTGCGCCTGCATCCTCACTTCGGTATTTATGATCCAAGGCTTCCCACAGTGCTTTCGTTGTGCCAATCTTGCGATATACATCGTATAACGCATCACATAGTCCGTTCAGGATGTAGTTTCGGCATAGGAAGTCCGAATCCTTCCAATAGCCATCTGCCATCACAGATTGGGCATCCTATTCCCTTAGTTCGGGAACCTTCTCGGTCAAGAATCTCGCCAAGCCGAGAGTTGCCAGGTAGAACAACATCTTTTGTTGCCACCTCTTGAAATTCGATCCACTACCGGTGAACTTCTCTGGTCTTTCGGCCGAACCACTCGGTACCGAAGGTACCCGAGTCATGGGAATATATCCCTCAGTGCTTCCACCATCTTGTGAACCAACGTTCACCGGTGTAGCTTGGGAATTAGCAACATTGTTGCCATTCCCACCACTGTTGTTCTCAACAACATTCTCCTCCCCTGGATTAACGATAGGCACACCAAGGTTCTCCATTTCTTCTAGGAAATTAGAGATAACAACCAACAGGAAACGAGAATAAGGTTTTAAGATTGTTGGGTAATATGGTTGAAAAATCCCAAAATAATAATTCTACAGAAAAATTATTATTGTATGGGAAAACAGAAAAAGCTGGGAAGGAAAAGATGGAGTGTTTGGGTATAGGTTTAGCACGAGTTCGAACACAAAGTTCTTTTCCTTAAAACCTTATTTGCTACCTCCCACAAGTGCTAGGAGTGTTGTACTCTAAGTTTCCTAGGATAAAAGGTGCTACAATTATTTGTTTAAGCACCTAAACAAAGAACCCGGCAAACAAAGCAAAGCTTAGAACACTGCTGGGTAAAGAAGAGAGTAGAAGCAGAAGTTTTGAAGCAAAAACAGTACTGGAATTCCTTTTGTTTGTTTTTTTTTTTTTTTTTTTTTTTTTTGTGCTGTGTAAAATGCTTCTGTTCTACCTCTCTTTATATAGGGATGTTGGAGGGATAGCATTCAACATGGCCATTAAATTGGTATTAAAACCAATTGTGTAACACCTGTAACAGCCACCCATTAAGTAGGATTAAACTCAGTTTTAAAAATTGGAATTAAAATAGTGTTAATTCCATTAACAGATGAGTTTAATCTTCTGAACTTTCGGGTTTCAGACCGTTGGGGTGCAGGTTCACACGAGAGCACACGGACCAGGCAACACGAGAGTACATCTCTCGTGCGCGCTGTGGTGCAACCCGAGAGTGCACCTCTCGTGATCACTGATGCACGAGAGTTGTGCTCTCGGTGCACCACAACCTCTCGTGCTCTCTGTAGCACGAGAGTAGGTGCTCTCGGTTTCGGTCGAACTCGGCCGAACCAAATGACTATATCAGTTGGAAAATGATACCGAAGTTTGGCATAACTTAACCTACAAGGCCAGTTAATTTTCGAGCGCAGGCTTGATTCAAGCCTTTTCGATCTCTTCTAGTTGGATTTTGATTTGCACCCCCCCTCCCCCTCTCCTCCCCCTGCTCAAGAGAGCCTCTATGCTATACAATTCTACAAGCTTCAAAAGAGCTCTTGTATATAAGGGGGGCAAATTTTCTTTCCAAACCAATGTGGGACAAAGTCCACTATTTCCCTTCATTTCCCAACTCAAATGGGTCTACTTTGAGAATCAATATCTCATTCACCCATTATCCGTTTTGAGCGTACAATATATCAATCTCTTCGTCTCACTACGAAGAACCCGAATCCACTTCGACCCGACCCAAATAGGAAGTGGACCCCACTGATAATTGTACCACAAAATAGCCACTTAATATGTCATTTTATGTCATTTTAAGCTAATTTTTCCAACAGTCATATCTACTTATATGTGAAATTAGAATAAATGTGAAAATGATCAAACACTATTGGTAAATGATAAATCGGTTCTGTTTGGTTCCAGTTTCGATTTTGTATCGGTGATTCAAAATTTATTTATTTTTATAATAGTCTAAATTCAACAATTATTTTATTTTATTTTATTTCGATTTTCAATCGTAACCAAATCCGTCCCTACTATTTTGGTTTGATTGTTATAGTGTCTGGTTAGGTTTGAATCGAATCGTACTCATCCCTATATATAAGTAATAATTTGTTGGAGAAAAAGAATAAATAAAATACTTAATTTAAAGGTAAAATGTCCATTTAACAATAAAGTGGTAAAAATTGTCACTTTTAACATAGCTGAGATGATAAATATGAATACATTAATAACTTTAGGAGGAAAAATGTTATAAACTTATAACTCACGAGAAAATTTCCTTTTTTTTTTTTTTTTTGAAACCGTCATTTTCCCTATTTAAGATTGTGAAAGTGAATTCTTCTTCGAAAAAAAAAAAAGATTGTGAAAGTGAAAGGGTAGGTTGTAGGCGGTATCTTTGTCCAAACAACTGGATAATGACTTGCATGATTCTTCAAAATATCCTAATCAGCAATGAGCAATTTAAAGATGATGAACTTATCATCGTCTAACCAAATAGATAATGTCGTATCGTGTCATTCGTGTGTCAGTTGTTAAGACATTAATTAGATATGTACAAAAAAAAAAAAAAGACATTAATTAGATGACCAGAGGATTCTAGGTTTTACTAAGGAAATTGTTTCTTTCATCGTCAATAGAGAAGACGAAAGAAACAAAGAAGAGATCAAATTATTTGTATGGAAATCATGATCAGATTCCCTTCTTCTTTGTTTTCCCTGTATTGTTCTTCTTCTTCCTCTTCTTTCCTCAAATCCGCCAGCTTTCCTCATTCTTCGTCTTTCCTCTTTCAAATTCCCAGTAAACTCACCTGGAATATACCTCCAATGAAGGGCCTTGTTTTAAATAGAGAGAAAAATTGCTTCTCAACCCTCTCTGCTTCCCTAACCCAGGATGGAAATGGCTTCAAAGCTCCTTCTTTGCAGGTATACCCTTTTACTGAAATGAAATTATTGCGAGAGAAAAGTTAATCCTCCCTACTATTTTATATGTTTAAGTGAATATTTTTAACATTGATCTTGAATATGCATATGATATGTGAAGCAATTGTTTGGTTATTGTGATGAGTCAAATAACTGAAATTGGAATTTATTGGATGGTTAGTGACTGTAATCTTGTGTGTACATATAGGGAAGTGAATCGTTCTTCAGGAGTGTATTGGCTAGTATGGAAGCAGTTTACCTGAACAAAAATCCTTCTGCTAAAGCCATTTTGGAGCTCGTTCGATCTGCAGATGGTGATCGAATTTGCTATGACCATTTTGCTTTCAGAACCTTTGGGGTAATGTTTGTTCTTAAGCTCCCTATTTGTTAATTTCTAATGTTCTGTTTAAAAAGTCACCAATTTGTCAACTTAAAATGTTGATATACTTTGGTTTCTTTGATTTATGTAAGTTTACTGAGAAAATATTACTATAGGTAAATGGGCATGGGATTGATTCCATGGCGAAATTCTTCTTGGACTTTGGTTACGAGAAACGGGAAGAGCTGAGGTTCCCTGCAAAGAAGTTGAAAGCCTTCTGGTTCGCTCCTCCGAAGTTGTTACATTCTGAGAATGGAACTCGTGTTAGTGGGCCCTTGCCGAGAATTTTCATATCAGAACTCCTTGTTGATCAAATGAGTCCAGGAGCTCAGGTTTGTGTAGACCTATAAAGAGAACAAACATGATGAAATATGGAAATCTTGACTTAATCTTCGTGAGATATTTCTTTCTAGATTCTGTCGTGTTTGCGAGAAAAAAACTGGGAATGAAGAGAAAAAGAAAAAAAAAAAAGGGAACTGAGAGAGAATGGAGGGGGACATTATTTTCGCTGAAATTCTGTCACTCTTATGTTGGCTCTTTGTGCAGGAAATAATTAGAAAGTATACTAACATATCTGGCAATGGATATGGGCATGCACCTCTTGCCAGTGCATTGGATTGCCTCACATGGGAAAAGCCCTCATTTGAAGAATTCCAGAAATTGGCTAGGTAATTCATTTGCTCCTACTTATATATATATATATATATAGTCTTGAGCAGGTCCTAACTGTAGGAGGTACCTTTAAGCTCGTACCATATTCAGACTAATCTCCATTCGCACCGCCCAGCCCAAGTAAGGGGCAAAGTGCTGGCCAGATTGGTTTTTCCATACGAGAGGGGGTTTGAACTCCCGACCTCTCTTAAGGGACGAGAGTGCACGGCCACTCACGCCAACCAAGCTGGTTACCTACTTATATATATATTCCTCATTCCTCAAGAGAAGTTATTTCATCTTCTACCAAATGGATCACGTTCCCCTGGAAATCTGGAATGTTTTGGACTTCTTCCAAGACTTGTTATACTTAGCTAGTTTGGTCCTTTTTATGTTTTCTACCAGAACTTTGTCTTCCCGTGTTCTACATTTAACTGGATTAACCTAAGAAATTCTATTACTGGCCTGCCTTCTGTAATTCCAGTGAAAGCGAATATGCTGCTTGGACACTTGTCAATGGCTATGCTTTGAATCACGTGACTATATCTACTCATCGCTTGAGATCAAACTTGGCAAGTATTGACAGTTTCAATCGGTTCATTGAGGAGAATGATTTTAAGCTGAACTCCGAAGGGGGTATTTTGAAAGGTGAGTGAGCAATATATGCTGTTTTCTGTCCGCCTTTTTTATCGCTTTATGAGTAGCTGATGGAGAATGGTTGAGAATTATCGATACAATTTTTGGTCTTCCCTTGCTAGTGAGCCCCGATGGTCTTCTGCTGCAAAGTTCAACCGTGGCAGATTCTGCCCCTTTTCAATTTTCAGACGGCTCAACAGAATTGGTCCCATGTTCTTACATTGAATTTGCCGAACGTCTTGTCTTGCCTGAGTACAAAGATTTACCTCGCGAAGAGGTAAGCCAACTTACCTCCTGAAATAATGCTTCATTAATTGGACTTGTGTTCACAATATGCCTCTTTGGTTTCTGTACAAAATATGGTCTAAATTCAACCGAAACTTTGAGATAAGACGTTACACACCACACTTGTGTTCACAATGAAATATAGATTACAGATAATGAGAGCGAGTCTGGGCATGTGCCTGTTGTAATTATATATGCTTAAGATTGTTTCCTAGGGACTCAAACTTGTTGCTCTGATACCATTTATTAGGATCAAGCACTTATAACTAGGCTAAAAGTTCGTAGGAATGCGCAACTTTATTTCCTTATACTGTCACATTCTACTATTCTAGTGTGTCCATTATGCGGGTGCTCCTAGTTTCGGACAGGTAATGTAACAACGTGTCTTGACATTTCCACAGATAAAGGAATTTCACAGGCGAGATGGGTTCGAGGTTGGAAATGCTGACAAGATATTCGAGAGCACATCGAGGGATCAACTAACCAGGAAGGTTGCGTAATCGACCAGTTTGGAGATAAGCAGTTGAAAATCGTGTAAGCTATTACTGAGAACTATGTTTATGCTGGAATTCCAGCAAAAATGGTACCCCTAGAAACATGCAGGAATATAAAAGACAATCTTGAAAATGGATAAGGCAATGCTCTTTTATATTGTAATAATAAAGTGCTGATTTATTGGAACATAATCTCGTAGGTTTGGTGCATACATATTAAAGCAAATGTTCCATTCCCGCAATAGTTGTAGGATTTAGTCATCAGATAATTCATCTTCTCTGGTCTTTTTGTAAAAAAAGTAAAAAAAAATAAGTTTAATTAGGTGAATTATACCATGGACCAATGATTATTTTGCATTGCGAAACCTAATCAAAAATAACTTGCAATTAACCGTTTATCAGTTTATGTACCTGTAGTCTATGTGTCTTTAAATAAATTTAAAGGCACATAACATGTTAACAACAGATAAATAATATGGTAAATACATATATATACATATATATATATATGATCGCGTTCAGGTGTGAACTATCCGTCTAGGAGAGAATTGAGAACCATTCACTGCGCGCCACGTGTCTAGATCAACAAATAAAATGTAATTTTAAAAAAGCGACGTGGAGACATTTTTATAAATAATTTGAATTTTGGTGCATGGAAATGTGTTATAAGGGCAAGTAGTTGCTTCACCTAATTTGAATTTTGGTGCATGTAAATGTGTTATAAGGGCAAGTAGTTGTTGCACCTTTGCAAGTAAGATGTGCAGCTAAAATCAATTACAAGTGCACCTACTTTCACCTACAAGTGCATGTAATTTTGTCTTGTTAACATTCATACACCTAGGTGTAACTACTTATAACTATAACAGGGCGTTTGGTTGGAGTGAGGAAATTATGTGGGAAAGGAATTGTAATTCCGTGGGAGATGAATTACTGGGAATAAAGTGGGAATTAAATTCCAGTGTTTGGTTTACAGGAATAGAATTACTGGGAATTTCAATTCCAATGTTTGGTATACATGGGAATTGAAAGGGAATAAGTAGTGTAAAGTCAAAAATGTCCATTGTTGTTGTTAGGCATTAATTTTAGGTTAAAAAGGAGGGGGTAATTTTGACTCATCACTATCTTTTTTTCTTCTTAAAATCCCAGGAATTAAAATACTAAGGGGGGACATGGGATTTTAATTCCATGAAAATGGGGGAATTGCAATTCCATGGAATTGCAATTCCTTCCAACCAAACTACGAAATTTAATGGTCCTTGGAATTAGGTGGAAATTATGTGGGGAGGGAATTTAAAATCCCTCCAACCAAACACCCTGTAAGTGCGTCTAAATATAGAGTGCACCCCTATATATATTCTAGTGCTTTTACGTGCTTTGCGCGAATGAAATAATACTTAATGATTATTTTTAAATAAATATTTCAAAGTATATTAATGCAATATTATATCGGAGATGTTAATGCATAGGTAAATAAATATTGAATTTGTTTATTTAACTCGGTAATTTAAATTATATAAATGCAAGATAATATATGAGAGATTGATTTATTGTCACTAACATAAATGTTTGCAACTCTATAATAACGCTAGTCTAAATACTTAATATAAAAACGATAGTCTAAATAAATGCTATTTTTGGTTTATATTTATCTAATTCTCGTTAATTATCTTTTGGGTAGCATTGTTATTATCTTCATCTTCAGTGCATGTTCTTTTTTTTTTTTTTATTGATAGTGTGTCATGTGTAATTGGGTTACTGGTGATAGCATAGATGAATTCATCGTGTAATTAGATTGGTGTAGGAAGCTATAGATTTGCCTTGTTGTGTATATGATGGGATCTGAATTGTACTATTAACTCTTTATCTTACAAGCACCTATTGATATTTGATAGCAAGACCGATTTTAGATTTTGAAGGCCCTGTTCTTTTAAATAAATGAAGCCCTATAAAAAATATAAACGCTCTTTAAAATCAATATGGTAAAAACATGATTTTTATTTATATATTACTTTTTCAATATAAAGAAGAAAAATTAAATAACTTTATTTTAAAAAATTATAGTGCGAACTACGGAACAAACAATAACACATATACGTGACTACGAAACAACCGAACAAACACATTACACATAACACATAAAATTATTAAATTAAAGATTTAAAGTGAAGGATTGAAACAACCTGGAAAGCTTCCTGCCTCTTGTAGAAATGCAGAAACCAAATTCTGCGTGGGCCAGCACCAGCAGCGCCTGAGACCTTGCGCTTCATGGACGGTGGACCTCCTTCGGCTCCGCCAGGCGCTCGCCCTCGGCTCCTGGAACTTCCGCAGTTTCGCCCAATCACCCGTGCCCCGTCCGAAAGCGCTCCTGGCCTCCTGGAGAATCTACGAAATTCGATCACTTCCTAGTTCTTGTCTTCCTCTAAAATTCTAAATATTTGATTCCTACGGCTATGTCTACTGATTTTAGTGTTCTACTGCTCTCAGACGTCTCAGTGCTCTGGGCCTCTACTCTGCCAATTGCCAAACGAAGAAACAGGAGAGAAAATTAGAAAAACTAAATCATTTTTTTTTCTTTTGTTAGTTTCTTCTAATATTCTCAACAAATATGAATACTCAATACTGTATAGTTCTAATCTTCTTAGACAATATGAATAGTGTATTGGTAATGGTAGTGATTAGTGAATGGTATAGAACGTTGTGGAATGGGAGAAACAGAACGGTCAGTTTTGAATGCTAAATTAATTTTATGTTAATTATGAGGAGAGCGTGATTTTGGGAAAGGGAAAATCGGAAGAGTTGTAGATTTTTAATCATTCAAGTCTTTAAGATTAACTCTAAATTTGTTTTTAAAAATTTCTTTAACGGGTAAAAATTAAATATGGGGCCCTCAAAAATTAGGGATCTTGTGCTATTGGGTTGCTTGGACAGCCCAAAATTCGGTCCTATTTGGTAGTGGTAGTTTTTCCTATACATGTTTCATGCGTTGTGAGATGTGTGTCCTAGGTTATCATGTGATAGTATTGAATAAAATATTAATATTATTTATTATATTTGTATAAAATAATTGATAAATAAATAAATAAATAAATAAATATATATATATATATATATATATATATATATATATATATATATATATATATAACATATTTTGTATTATAATTTTGATATTTAATTACAAGATAATGTAAAAAGGACAATGGACAATGTAGTGAATAAAATAAATTAATAAATTTAAAGGTAATGAATCTTTGAATTGTAAAAAATTGTAGAAAATAAAGATAATATAACTAATGAAATTATATCACTTTTTAAATTTTTTATAATTAATTATTATTTTTTAAATAAAGGCATTATATACATCTAATTCTAAATTAATTAAATGCATATGTATTATTTTTTGTTGTAGCTACTACTTTATTTCTACATCTACATCTACATCTATCTACAATCTACAATTCTAATAAGAGTCAATAATGTTATGCCCTTAACTGAAAAAAAAAATGTTAGTACTATTATTTCTTAAAATGAATGGTTCATATTATTTTGATTTTAGTATTTTTTTTAATGATTTTTCTTATTTACCCTCTGTTATATTATTTTATTCCCTTAAATAATCTAAATTCCTTTAGTAACGGAATATTCCGTTAACTATTTATTATTTTTAACTTATTCTTTAATTTTTATAACAAAGGTCTTAAACATATAATCTGAATATGTTAATATATATATATATATATATATATATATATATATATATATATATTTTTTTTTTGTTTTTTTTGTTTTTTTTTTTTTGTTCCTATGGGGTCAGGTATTCCCGTGCGGTCAGTGCGCCATACACCATTAGGTATGCATAAATACACCTTACAGTGTTCAAAAATACACCATTAGGTATGCATAAATGCACCATACAGTGTTCGAAAATATATATATATAGAATTAGGTTCTGGTGCGGTTAGGGTGCTCAGGTGCGGTTGTGCGGTTTAATCTGGGTCATTCATCTCGCTTAAATCAACGTCCAGGATTACTAAAATTTAAAATAAAAATGCAGTGATAATTTTATAATTTTTGCATTTAGGTCAAAATTAATGTAAGCAGTTCTGTGATTAATGTGCTTGAATTTTGTATATAAGATGCGTGAGTCTTGTGCATAAGGTGCGTGAGTTTTGTGCTTAATGTGCGTGGGGTTGTGCTTAATGTGAGTAATTGGTAAAACTTAAAGTGTGGACTTTTGTGTTTAAGGTGTGCGAGATTTGTTCTTAATGTTAGTGGAATTTGTGCCTAATTTGCGTAGGGGTTGTGCTTAATGTGTGTGAGGTTAGTGATTAATGCCAGTAATTGTTGAAACTTAAAGTCTGTGAGTTAATACTTAAAGTGCGTGGCTTTTGTGCTTAATGTGGGTGCGTTTTGTACTTAATGTGCGTGAGTTTGTGCTTAAGATCTAACACTTAAGGTGCGTGACTTTCTTCCAAACATGCGTTTTTTTTTTTTAATTTTCATTGATTTGAGCCGTTGATCTAGATTTGATCAACGGCTCAGATCTAACCGCACAACCGCACGGGAAGCTATACCCGCACATGAACCCTTCCCTGTATATATATATATATATATATATATATATATATATATATATATATATATATATATATATATATATATATATATAATTTAACATAAACTTTAGTCAAATAATTAGTCCGACTAAATACATAACATTCAAAGTTAAGTATTAAATATTATAAATCAAGAACTTTAAAAATCATTTGATTTTTATGCATTTAAAAAAAAAATTAGATTAAGTTTTTTTTTTCGTTAATTAATCTTCTTTTGATTATTTATATCAGAACTGAACTTAATATTTCAATTATACTTTTGCACTATTGGTATGATTTAGGTCATTATTGTATTAATATTTTTTGTATTTATTTTTATAATGGTATAATTGTACGTTACTTTACAAATATTATACTATTATTTTTTATCGGACAAAATTGTTCTTACATTATTGTCAGACATGCACGACCTAACTACAAAGTTGTTGATCATAAATACAATTACACCTGGACTCTAAAAGCGTAGGACCATTTTCTAAATAATTGACAATGTTGACATCTCACTAGCTCCAAGCCTCCAATTGAACAAATTTATACATCAGAATTTTATCAATGCATGAAAACTTCTAAAGAAATCTTTAAGTTAATATTTTCTATATCATTAT